AGGGTGACCATAGGATATAGATTTGGCTATGACATATGTTCTTATATGTAGGGTGCAGGAATGACTTTAACCCTTAGGGCCGAAATAGTCGCTCTTTACCAAACCCATCAACATATTCCTGTCTGAAAAAAATCCGAGGGCTCACAAATTCCTTGTTTAGGGAAAACACTTTATTTGGGATTTCACTTGTGTCTTCCAGTTTTCCTCTTACCCAAATATTGATCCGTTTATTACAATTGAAAGGTCAAAAATTATAAAGTATCACGATTTTTCTGATTTTCACTTTATCCATAGTTATTTCTATTAATGGGTCCTTAGGTAACCTAGGCTAGCATTTTTTAAAGATTTGGAGTAAAGAAATTTCTTAAATTAAAGGTAATCATGGATTTTCTTTCAAAATGTTATAATCAACTCAAATCGCTGCATTTCGAGGCAATCTTAATTTCCTGGCATCTCAAACAGTTCCTTTTTTTTGCCACCTCCACATGTTTTTTTTTTAAAAAAAAATACTTATTTTTGTTTTTTTGAAATTGTTTACTTAATTAATTTATTCCGTTTTAAATGTCATTTTTTTAAAATATATTTTAAATTAGATTTATATTTAAATATTTTTCAAAAAATGAAATACAGCATAGAAATTTTATACTTTGAAGAATATTTAAGTTCTTTTTTTTAATAATTAATTATTTGATTGTTTATATTATTTAAACAAATTAAGGAAAATTAAAATTATATTGATTTTGAGCATTAACTCACTTATAAAATTATTTTCAATGATATAAGTAGAAACATTTATTGATATAAATATTATATGTATAAATAGTTCGAATTTCTAATTTCATATTGGTGTTTAGTTATGTAAATTTTGCCTGAAGGAAATAACTGAAATAGTCATTATTTTGAAACAAGCCAAATATTTCTGATTGCATTTTTTCAGCATTAAAATTGTCTAGGAATACTTTAAGAAAAATAAGATTTTGCAGTAGCGTCACTAGGAGGGGGTGCGTAGGGGCTCAAACCCTCTAAAAAATTTGAATAGCCCTCTGGAGCAAAAAATTTTTTTTATAGCTCCTTAATATCCCATTCTAATAAGTAAGTTTTTTTTGATAGCCCTCTGAATAATCTCTTTTATAATTCTCTTAAGTGTTATATATATTTAATTTTATTATTTAAAAATTAATAAGACTATCTAAAATTTAATTAAATGAGTGCAATTTTAATTATTAGATTAGATTAAAACATATAAATTATATTTTCAATATGTCATCTAACAATTAAATTCTGTCTTAAAAATGGAATATCAATATCACTCATAATGTCTAAATATCAATTTAGCATTAAAAGTCGAAGATTATTTGATTTTTATTATTTAAATTATTTAATTATTAATTGAAAATTAACAAATTAAATATTGTAATTAACCGAGTTCAAAATTAATAATCAATTATATTATTCATTTTAAAATTTAATTAGCATTTCTTAAAACTATTTCCAAAGTTCAAACAAATATAAGAAATTTCTTTATAAAAAGTAAGTAAACATATAGATGATAATCCTCTAATATACAATTAGTTGTAAATATTTGGTCAAATGCCACTTTTACAGGCATATTTGACAGTTAGAGAATATATAACAGTTAATATTTTAATAAATTTTACTAACCAATGCTTTTAATAATAAATATAAGCAACTATTTGCATTACATTCTTTAACACCATCTATTTATTTTGAATAAAAAGTATTATTAAAATTACTCATCATATTATCCATCCTACAATGGATGTAATCCTTATTAGATATCTTTTTTCTTTCTCTTTTAATAATAAGTTTTTAACGAAAGCTATTTTTTCATCTTTAAAAAAATGTTTTGAGTTAAATTTTTAATACGAGTATATTTTTGATATTATTACAAACTAATTTTATTTAAAGACATATTATACCAACAAGAGTTGGTGCCACAATAATATATAAAATTTAAATTGCTTTCATCATATAATTACTTTGGTCCTTATTTTCTACTTATTAAATGATTCATTTCTAATATAGTATCCTTACCATGTAAATAACTCAAGGTTTCAATAGCATAATTATTTCTTCTAAAGATTTTAAATGTATTTGTTTAATCAATTTATATAACATAATACATAGGCGTAGCCAGGGGGGGGCAAGGGGAAATCCCCCCCTTCAGAAATTTATCACTTTTTGTAAATATCATTTTTAGGTAATAAAAAATATTCCCCTTAGTCCTCCCTCCACTCTCTGACCCTCAAATATGTATGCATATATCTTAAATAATAATTTAAAACAAAGAATGTAAAAGTTGATATTTTTTTATAAAACTATTCATCATAATTTATAGATTTTTGGGAAAATAAATTTGTAAATATATAAAATGAACCAAAAATGTTTTTTAATAAATGGAATATAAGCCAAAGATAATTCTTATGACAGAAGTGAATTATTAATAATAGATCCATAAAATTACTAAATAATATAATATATCAAATATATTTTTTTATAAAATGAGTAATTTTAATTTATTTATCTTAATAAAAGTAAAATATAATTATAAAACTATTGATAAAATTAAATCATAAATTAGAAAAATATTAAAGCACAATACAAACAGTGGAATATTATATGTCGTAGATTTACAGTATATCTAATTATCAAATGACAATCAAGTAATTTTAACCAATATAGCGAATTATATATTTTACAGAAAACTATAAAATATTGATAAGGACATCAGAAAATATCTTTTAAAGACATTGTGGAATGAAAAATATAAGATTAAATTTAAATATCATTTTTACTTAAAATAAATAGATGGCGTTAAATTTTTGAATGCAAATTGTTGCTATATTTAATATCAAGAGCATTGATTAGTAAAATTTGTTAAATTATAAACTGTAATATATTCTCTAACTGTCAAATATGTCTGTAAAAGTGGAATTTTACCTAGTATTTTATAACTAATTCTATATAATAGAGTAAGATCAACTATATGTCTACTTACTTTTTATTAATATTTTTTTATACTTGTTTGAAATAAATCATTACCATGCTTTTATATTAATGTATATACAAGTAATTTATTATATTTTATATAAACTAATAAAAATATATTTAATATTTGTTCCAGGCTTATTTTTTTTATTAAAATTTGTAAAAATATTTTATAACCATATATAGACTAAAGTAACCCAGCCGAAGGCCGGGAAAAAGCGGGCCAAAAACCCGCCCAAAAGGGGGTCTAAGGGCGAAGCCCCCAGTAATTTTTTAATTCCCCCCCCCCCTTATGAAAATCCTGGCTACGCATATGACATAATATATTCTGATATGAGTTTACATCGTGAGTGTCATGGCTATGACTGTAAATTAATCAGCATCTCTTATTTATGTGGCTAATATAATTTAAGATTGTTACTCCTGCTGCTGAAAGCATTTGATTGTATAAATTAGATGAGCAACAATGATCAATTGTCTAGTGGTTATTATATATCGTTAAAAATTGAAGATAATCTTTTAGAAATTTAATATCACAATAATTTTGTCGAATATCTCACCATAATTTTCTCGAATATCTACAATAATTTTCTTGATTATTTATCTAGCTCCCATAACATCTGAGAGATATAGTTTTATATTTTTAGTCGTTTATATTCTCTTCTTCAAGAATTGATTTGGAAAGGCCTACAAATTTTTCCTTATTAGTCCATTCATAAAACAGGTAACACAACGTTATATTAGTTTCATGATTTTGTCAATGTAGGTTGTTAAGAATTGTTCACAGTTTGCAAATTTCAATTAAAAAAATATAATATATTAATATAAAACCCAGCTAAAGGCCGGGCAAAAGAAGGCCAAAAGCCCAGAAAATAAGGGGTATGGGGAGTGAGGCCCCCATAAATTTTGTTGAGCCCCATTAGATTGTAAAGGCTAGTTACGCCCCTGGATTTTTTTTGCAGATTTAATCAACTTTCATTCCATCAAATAATCTTTTTAAAATATGTAATTTCAAAACCCCCAATTGTTAGTTTGGAAAGAAATAAAGATATATTATTCTTTTTATAGGGTTATTCAAATAGTATATACAATAAATGAAGATCTTGTGGCTTCTTCCATATCACTAACAAAACTTACACCTTGATTAGTTTCTATACATATCAGTATACAGATTTGTTAATTGATCCTTTTAAAAAGATCGAATCACGATCATAATCTTAAGATATATACATCGTAGTACAGGATCAAAATTTAAAAGAAAAGAATTGTCACGCTACTTTTATTTATGGATACAAATATTTTTTCACATATATATTTTTATATAATCTGGATTCCTTATTTTATAAAATCTTGAGTAATATACCAAGAATAATTAACCAATGTTAAAATAAATTATAAATAGTAATATTTTATTGTAAACAACAGTTACAAAATAAATACAACAAAATGTTATATTAATAAGCTACAATTTTATAATTATCTGTGTCTCCTCAGTCAATTACACAAGAACCCGAACTCTTAACAGCTTTAGTATGGAGTAAAAAAAATTAAACTAGCAATATCATATTTACGAATATGCATTTTTTTTCGCCTATGATTATTAATTATAACTTCTAAGGAATAAAATAAAGTCAAGATGTTTTCATTTGAGACAAAATAATTTCTTTATCATTCAAAAATGTTAATTTTTTTTCAATTGATTTATTAATATGTCTTTAGATAGCTATATTATAAATAATATACCTTTTAAAAATCGATATCAATTCAAAAATATATTTTTGTTAAATATCAATATGTAAAAAATATCTTATCTTATCTAGCACGTTTGTCATAGACCTACCCAAACTGAGCGAAAGTGATTTATATGAAAGCCCACCCTTCATATAATTATGCCAATTTTTTTCTCAAAGATACCAACAAGTTTCCTATATGTTTTAAATTCGCTCGTCAAAAATATACTAAATTAAATTTGTCATAAATTTTAGATAAATTAATCAAATATACCAGCCGCCATTATTTGTGGTAAGTTAAGTATATCCATTTCCATTTTTTAACACATGCTTTTAAAAATCTAATGGCAAGTCCTACTTACCATATATCAAATTTGTTAGAAAAGGTAATAGATATTATGAAATAAAATTATTATATTTGTTGAAGATGTCATCGGCTGATAAAGACTTTAGATTTATGGCCACTAATGATTTAATTACAGAATTACATAAAGATTCAATAAAGTTAGATGATGAAACAGAGAAAAAGGTAGTTAAAATGATTTTAAAATTGTTAGAAGATAAAAATGGCGAAGTTCAAAATTTAGCAGTGAAATGGTATATTAATAAATAGCTTTTAAAAGTTTTTTTTAAGTTTAGGACCATTGGTCAATAAAATTAAACCCTATCAGGTGGAAGATATTCTTATTACCTTATGTAACAATATGTTATCAGATAATGAAGAGTTAAGGGATATATCAAGCATAGGTATATAATAGTTTATATTTTATTTATTTATTTATTATTCTAAGCTCTTAAAACGGTCATAAATTCCTTCCCTTTGTCATATCTGAATTCAATATCAAGCATTAGTCAAAAATTAATAATAAATCTAATTAAGATTCTTAATAAAGTACAAATTATGTTGTAGATAATATAAAAAAATATATTAACAGAAAGATACAGCTATACAATTAGAAGCACTAGATATTATGGGAGATATATTAAATCGTTTTGGAAGTAAATAATTAATTAAACACTTAACCACCTTTTAAACAGGCCTTATAAGCAATCAACAAGCTTTAATAGAAGAGGCCCTTATACCATTAATATCCAGTCAACGATTAGCAGTTAGGAAGAGGAGTATTATTGCCCTAAGTGATTAATATATTTATTCTTTAAAATTAATATGCAATTTAGGTTATCTCACTATAATATGTTCTTCAACATTATTTAATAAAATAATGGATTATTTGATTGAACAAATCCATACGAATAAAGTGCCTTCAATCACTCATTCCTATATACAGTGTATTGGAGCTATAAGGTAATTTTATAATATTTTGGTATTCTAAGTATTTATTTTTTAAATTTAATCTGTATATTTGAGATTAAAGTGCATATTTAAATTTAATAATTTTGTTATAAACTCTGTAAATGATTAGTAATTTTTACTTGAAAATTAATTTATATTAAACTATATGGAGACTTTAAAAATAATCTATAAAATATAATTGTATAATTGTATAATAATTATTTTAATTTCTTTTTATTCTTTATTTATTTATACTGCCATTAAATTAAAAACAATTATATATCTATCATCTTAACATTTTATTTGTATAAAAATATAAAGTCGAACTTCTGGATCAAGACTGTCATCTTATATCCCAAAATTTGTACCTATTTTGATAGGCATATGCCAGGATAAAAGTGGAACCATGACAATAGAAGAGAATGATGAAATGATTGAGTATTGTTTGCAAACTTTTGAGTCCATTTTCAAGTGTTGCTATAATGAAATATTACCACACATGAATGAAGTTATTATATAAAATTTTTTTGTTAATTTTTGCCACTCTTTTTGAGCTAAAGATATGCGAAATAGCCAAGCCTGCTAAGCTCATATCTAATTAATATTGGATCTGGCTATATTTGAAAATACTTTTAAAGAATTGTTCAAAAATATTTGGATTTATTCTTTGATAGATCAATTCATAAACAAATAGAAGCGAATAATAACAAATGCAAATCATAAATTATTCAAGTATGAATAAAGAATTATTTAATTTGAATAATTTCAATATTTGACAAATTATTTAAATAATTTGTTTATTCAAGAAATTATTCCAATAAATCTTATTTGAATTAAATTATCTAGTGAATATACTAATTATTTTTAATGATTATTTATTTGTTCATTTCAATTGATTGCTGATCAACCTGATAAGTAACGTGTTTAAAAAGTATAAATCAACTGCTTGTAATTACAACATCTTTGTATAAATAGGACCTTCATCAAAAAGCATGGATAAGGCTTCAACTGTTAAAAATTGTTTTGTTATAATAATATTTTAATATTATTTAAAAATTTGACAAATATAAGATGATAATAAATAATTTTTATATTCAATTAAAAAAATATAATGAAAATAACAAAAAAACTATGAATTTTCTGGATTTTTTTTATAAATAATAAAAATATCATGATGAAAAAATAGTATTTTTGCTTAATAAGAATTTTTTTCTTTTTTAAGCTTTCACCTTTTCTGGTGGTAAGCTCCTTCACTTATCTATTATAATATTAATCTTGCTATCTATTTTTATCTTTGTATTTCTGATCGATTTCATTTGTATCGATCACCGGTGTATCATTTTTGAGGCCAAAGTATCTTGAACTCCCACCGGTGTATGAAATCAGTATCGACCAGATATCTTACCTGAGTATTCCCAACACGGAGTTATCAAATCGACAGATATCCCAATCCTGATCTCCCAATCCTGATCTCCCAATATTTGTGATTTCATTTGTATCGATCACCGGTGTATCACGAGGCCAAAGTATCTTGATCTCCCCCACCAGGGCATCAAATCAATATCGACCAGATATCCCACCTGAGTATTCCTCACACTGAATTATCAAATCGACAGATAACCCAATCCTGATCTCTCCCACTGGTATCAATATCGATGGATATCCCACCGGAGTATCGTTATCAATTCCATTGTAACTTGATAGACAGACTTGAGCTTGAACGGCCCCCGAGGTCACCATCATCCCATCATTCTAGCTCTGGCCAAGAAATCGTTATCATCTGACCCACGAGTTCAGTTGGCCTTCTTTTTTGGTTTTATTGGACAAGTATCCTAGCACTCGGCTGTCCAAGCCTGTCGGTGACCGGGGTGGCATTTCCCAGCTCAGAAATTTATCATATCATATGTATAAAGCCATACACCATCGAAGAAAAACCCGAAAATTTTTAGCTCCTTCCCGGGATTGAACCTGGGACCTTCGGTTAACAAGCCTTCATCACACACCACTGCACCACCCCGGCGATTTTTGTTTAATAAGAATATAAACAAAAATTTATAATAAAATATTAAGCCAAATTTTTTATATATAATTTGAAACATTGCTTTTTTTTGAACCCTTATGTGGTCAACGTTGCATTAATGATACAGTAAAAACATATGATTATAAATCCGAGAATAGATAGAACGATGAGCCAAAATTAATTAGAATAGGTTAAGGCATCTAAAAATAAATTTTATGTCAATAGCATTAAATAAAAATAAATACTTTTTCAAAGAGGGAGCCTAGAACATTTGGTATTTTGATAGTCCAAAATTGTTGAACTTCAATGGCATCTAGCGCACTCAAAAATAAATATTTTTTAAAAAAATGTTTTTTTTATGTTTTAATACAATCTTTCTTCTTAAGACTTGCAATTTTAAGACAGCAAAACAGTTTAAACTCGAAAAGCCTTTTCCTAATTCTGTTTTAGTTAGTGATGAAGAAGATATCTATGAAAACGATCTAACTGACACATCTAATCTTCCAGAGAAAATCAAAATCCAATATCCAGCAGACATTGATATTGTCTCAGAAACCTTAATATCTGAATGCGAATTTTAATTTGATTTGATCGGAAAAACTCTAATAGAAATATTTGAATTACTTTTTGATCAAGAAATGTATTCACTGTTTGTGGATCAATCACATAATTATTCTAAATAAAACAATAGACCAAATTTTATTTTAACCCAGTAAAGATTTATAGGAATTCTTTTGCTGACTGAATATCATTCCTTACTGCAAGAAAGAATGTATTGGTCGAATGACAATAATATTGCTATAACAATCGTTAGGAATTCAATGACAACATACATTTCGCGATATCAAAAGGAATCTACATTTATCTAATAACTCAACTTTTGATAAAGAAGATAATCTTTATAAAGACCGCCCATATTTAAATTTACTATAAAAGTTTCAACAATTCGGTATATTTTTATGTAATTTATGCATAGATGAGCAAATGATATCGTATTGAGGAAGACATTCATGTAAAATGTTTATCAAAGGTAAACCCATTCGATTTAGATATAAATCATTAACCATTGTTTACTTCGCTGGATATATATTGCATTTTCCAAGTAAAAATAAAAGTCAAATAACTTCGAATCTTGGACTAGGAGGTACGGTTGTTACAAATTTAAGTACTTTCTTTGCCTTCTAGTTACCTTGATAATTTTTTTTACATCTTTAAGGCTTTGATCATATTTGAAGCATCTTGGATTTTTCGCAACTGGGACTATAAGAGAAAATAAACTTAAAAACAATTAAAGTTATGGCAAAAAAGAGAGGGACTATTACGACTACCGATTTGAAGAGACATATGAAATATTTGTAGTTCGATTGAATGATAGTTCAGTGGTGACAGCTGCATCAACATCTCTTACCCCTCTATGCAACGTATCAAGATTTCTCAAAAATAAAAATTACACAACCTAATCTAAATTCCTAAAATTACCATATGGGGCGTTGATCTGTGCGATAACCTAGTGTCAACCTATAGAATAAATATATGAAGTAAAAAATGGTGATGGTCTAAGCAATTTTATGGATGTAGCAGTAGTAAATTCATGGAAGTTATGGAATCGAGTGAATCCTGATGATAAAAAATTATTACTAACATTTCGGCTGGAAATAACTGACACTTTTGAAAACTCCCCTGGTAAATAAAAAGATAATTACAAGTAAAGGCAATCCTAGTCAATTTTCCTCGCTAAGTCAAACCTGAAAATTTGGTCATTATGTTACAACTATTATCGATTAAAAAAGGCGAAGTTGTAAGCTTTGTCTTAGTCAGTCAAACAAGATATATATGTAACATGTGTCATACATATTGATTGTTTAATAAATTTGGAAATTATCTATTGTATTTAGATTTTTGCAATAATATAATTTTATCTTATTTTTATACCCCTAATGGTCAACGTTACAGATATGCAACGGTTCAGATTTCCTATTTAGGATGATTTTTTTCTTTCCGATTTTTTTTATTTCTTAGTTAAACTAAAGGAAATAATATAAAAAATCAAGAATTTTCATCCGCTGGAAAAAAGTGTCACCATTAATGGGTTAAATAAATGCATAATTCTTGGGTATAGGCTTTTGTTTGCCCAGCTTTCTTAGCCTATGGACGTTTTAATAATAGTCCTAGGACTATTAGGCATATAAGTACATGCAGCTTGCCCACAAAAATTTGAAGGGCTCCTCTTTTTTTTCCCATTATGAAATATTCAGTTTAATGGATTTGAGGAAAACCTAGCGTAGCTCTACTCTATCTACAACAGGGTTGGGCAGTATCGCGGATATTTGTATCTTGAATCTTTTTTAAAATTTTGGAAAGTATCTTGTATCCAGTATCGTATTTGTATCTTAACTAACTTTGTATTCAAAAAGATACAGATACTTTAAAAAAAATTTATATTGGTTAATTTAAATAGTATTAAAAGTTAAAATGATATTGTTTTAAGATTTAAATCAAAATTTAGATATTTTAAGATAATTTTTGATATATTACATTGGTCGTCATATAGCAATTTGCTAACAATTAGAACTACCATATTTGAATCATTTTATATCTGTCTATTAAAATTATGGAAGAAGAAAATAGAATAATATGTTTATCTTCGTCTTCAGATGATTCTTCAACCGAAAATTATAACAATAAATTTAAACTAAGCATACTTAATGGCAAATTTTTTGAAGTACTTCAAGATGATCATAATAAAGAAATTCATCGTGACTTTGGTATTGACGAAAAAGTTATAACAACTGTTACAGATTACGGCTCTAACTTTAAGAAAGCTTTCAAGGAGTTTGGATATTCTATGGAAGCTGTAGAGAATGACTTTGACATCAATGATGATGAATGTATAGAATTCGAAATCATTGAAAGTATTATTTAATACTTCTTTAAAATTTATAATGATTGTAAATTTAGTAAAAAATTTTATTCAAATAAAATTATTTATTTGTTTATTTAAGGGTCTAAAGAAGCCTCAATAACATTGCCTCAACACATTCGTTGTTTGTGCCATATGATAAGTCTAATTGCCACAACAGATGTCGAGAGAGCTATTAAGGATTCTCCTAACATTTCTAAAATTCATCATCCTGCAATAGCTAAATGTACTAAGCTATGGAATGCAAATAATAGGCCTAAAACTGCAGAACTTATCAAAGCAGTTTTAGGAAAACAATTAGTTACACCTTGTTGCACTAGATGGAATAGTTTGTATGTGATAGTCTTCATAGTTTATTAAAATTTAAAGGCGAACTTCCTAAATTATGTCAAAAATTAGAATTTCCTAAATTAAGAGATATTGAAATTCAATATTTAGAAGAATATTGCAATATAATGGCCCCATTGGCTATAGCGATTGACAAAATACAGAGTGAAATCAACTGCTATTATAAAGAATCAGCTCCATTTTTAAATGTCGTTAAAAAAATTACAAATTTAATTCAAACCAATCTACAATTTTGCAAACCATTAGCTATTGCCATAGAAAATTATTTAAATAAAAGATTTAAAAATATATATGATTTTGATAACAATTTTAAAAGTGTATTTTTGGCAACTATTTCTCATGCCTATTTTAAAAATCGTTGGATTGATGGTGAAAAAGAAAAAAATTACCTTCAGGATTTGTTATTACATGAAGTTTTAATTGTTTTTAAAAATAATATTGAAATTAATACTTCAACAAAATCTTCAATTGATGAAGATGATGATTACTTTTTCCTTAAAAGTACCACATCCAATTCTAATAATTCAATAAATGATATTGAAATAGAGGTCCTAAATTATATGAAAGATGACAGGCGGAGTATAAATATGTTAGTTATAAATATATAAAAGAAATATTTATTAAATATAAAAATATTACCCTCCTCAACCCCCGTTGAAAGATTATTTAGCTTTGCTAATATGGTTAATAGACCAAATCGTCAAAGATTGAACGATAAATCATTTGAAAAATTAATAATATTAAAAAATAATTCTGATTTATGATGCTGATTTATTATTATTTATTAATTATATAATTATTTATAATTATTAAATGGAATATCGCATGATCTTTTATAATAAATTTGTTATTTTCTACAATTTATTTTAAATATTTTTTTATAAATTTATATTATAGATAAGAAAATAAAGCTTTATACATTTTGATTTTGACTATTTAAAGTTTTTTTAAAAAGTATCTTGTATCTTAGATACTTTTTTTTTGTAAAAATACAAGTATCTATTATCTTATATCTTATTGAAATTTTTCTAAAATATCTAGTATCTTGTATCTTAAATACAAAATTTTATAAAGTATCTGTATCTGTATCCGAATACAATTTTCTGAAAATTTGCCCAACCCTGATCTACAAATAGGGGGTTTTAGATCAGATAATTTTCCGAATAACTTAATTGCTTGTTCATTTTTTCTGTTTAAAATTAAATGTGCATTAAAAAAAATTTTGTCGATTTATTTTGGTATGAATTATTTTATATGTTAGCGAATTATTTGAATTATTAATTGAAAACAAAAGTAAATTTTACACTCCAAAAACAGAAATATCATGACTAAGTAATATTAAATGTAAGAAGTAAAAAGCATAAGATCTGAAATTAAAAGATTTTACTTTAATTTTAAAATCTTAATAAAATTGTTATTAAGGCATATTGTTACTAGATCCGATTTAAGCCCTTGGAAGATAAAATAAAATTATAGGAAAAAATAATTAAATGTCCAGTACAATTGAGTAATCAATGTCTCATTACTTTTAGAATATTTAAAAAGTAAATGAAAAATCTATATATGATAACGAAAGTAATAAACTAAAATATGTTACTTAATATTTTTTGGTAAAATGTCCTAAATTTTTTCAACTCCAAATCGAAAGCCTGCAAAATATCTCAATCAAAAAACAGTTGTATTGTTAAAAAATTTTTTTGTAGTGATGAAGTTAGTAGGGTATTACCAGAAAAAAAAGATTGCATATCTATTATTAAAAAGGGGCAACGAGTGAGCGCTCAAAAAAGGTTAGTTTTTAATAATTTAAAAGAATGATATAATCATTTTAAGGCGAGTAATTCAAACATAACAATTGGATTTTCGAAATTTGCTAGCTTAAGACCAGAAAATTGTATTAGCAGGGGCTAGCGGGACACATAGTGTATGCGTTTGTAGCATACACTAGAATATTAAACTTATGATTTTAGGCTGTGAATTAGCAACATTGACTAAAAATGGTGAAGATACATTAACAACTTATAGAGATGTTATAGGCAGAATGATTTTCAATCCTCCATTACCCACCTCTTATTTTGGTGACTGCAACGAGTGTCCTGGCTCGGCACACTTAAAAGAACGCATCGAAAAATTATTTATAAAAAATGATATAGCTCTTGTTACGTTTAAACAGTGGGTTTCGGTAATTAAAACAACTCTGGAGACTATTTCTCAATCTTCAGATGAATTTATTAATGATTTTTTTGATAAAATGAATATTCTCATACGCCATTCATTTATTTGTGAAAAACAAAGTTCATTTCACAATAACCTTAGAAATAGTTTAGAAAATAATCTCTACCTAATTATTTGTGAATTTTCAGAAAATTATTCCTTAATTGTCTAAGATGAAGTTCAGGGTTATCATTGGACAACTTGTTACGATGCATTCATTCTCAATTTATTATAAAATAGGAGATCAAATAAACAACATAAGTTTTATGGTAATATCGGAATCCTTAATTCATAATACTGTTTCATTCCATTTATTCCAATCGCATTTGATTCATTTAAAAAAAAAATAATTCTACACTCCACCTAAAAAATTCACTACTTTTCTGATGGTTCAGCAGCGCAATATAAAAATAGGAAAAACTTCATCAATGTTTGCTACCATGAAATTGATTTTGGTGTTCAAGCAGAATGACATTTTTTCCTACGGCACATAAAGTGCCTTCGACGGCATAGGCGGCACAGTAAAAAGGTTAGTTGCCAAGGCAAGCTTACAAAGACCTTATACTGATCAAATAATTACACTACAATTTTATAAATATGCGGAGGAGCATATAAAAGGTATAAATTTTTTTTATGCCACTATACCAGAGTATGAGGAAGAAGAGATGAGGCTAAGTGAGAAATTTAGTAAATCTATCTCAATACCTGGGACACAAAAAATTTATGCAGTGTTTCCGATTGGTTTAACTAAACTTAACATTAATCTATTTTCAAATTCGCAGACATTTATTGTGGAGATATAATATATCCACGTGAGAATCCTTTGATTGAGGATCTGTTAATCGATGAGATTAGAGGATATGTAACATGTGCATATGAAAACGATTGGTGGTTAGGATTTGTATAAAAAGTGAATGTAATTAGAGATGAAGTAAAAATTAATTTTCTTCACCCTAAAGGACCAGCAAATTCTTTTGTTTATCCAGCGGCACAAGATATTCATACCAAAAAATAATATTTTAACAATAGTTAGCCCATCAATGGCTACTGGGAGTGCCTATAATTTATCGCTAAACGAAATTATCAAGGCGTCAAATAAACTAAATTTAATGAAAAACCGAAATTAGGTAATATCTTTCATGAATTTTAATTATCTATTATATCTTTAAAATTTATAAAATAATTTTTCGAAAATTAAAATTTTTATAAAAAAAAATGATTATAACCGCAGCTAAATAATCTCATTTCATGATATTAATGCTGGAAAATCTTATTATTTATGTTTAAAAATGAAAAAAAGTTTAAAAAAATAATTATTAAAACAAAACACGTTATTTTATAAAGGAGCGCCAACCTATTTTTGAAAAAAAATATTTATTTTTTTATTTTAAAATCCCAATAACTAAAAAACCCATGGCTGTCCCAAGTTTTAATTCTTTTTATGAATTGATATAAGGTTAGAGAATAAGAAAATTTTAATTTAAAAAAATTTGGAAAGCGAAACTCCTGGAATTTTTATGTTTAAAATTTATAACGTAAATAAAAACCGCAACAATAATATTTCAAAAAAATCCTTAATATTGACATATAACTTATAATTTTAAAATCATTATTTTTTAACTTATCTCAATTTTAAAAAATCGTATTGGCACTTTTGACCATTGATATCTCAGCAACTATGAGTACTAGGAGGCTATAATTTTGGATTCGATGCTTTCTAATGATATTCTCTCAGTATGCAAATTTTATCTAAATTAAAAGGTCGGGCCGAAAAGTTATCGATTTGGTATGGGATTACTCTAATACCTCCCTTCGGTTTTAATAGATAAAAAATCGGGTTCGACCCGAAAAATTTTTTAGTAACCAGGTTACCACGTTATTTTTGGAATTATTATCATATAAGTTGGCCATCGTCACCTCGCTCTTTTCATGTTTGGCCTTCTTTAGACAATTTTTAACAATGGCAACCATTAGATTTAGGATGATATAGTGGGCCAAGGGATGTTGTTTATATCCGCACATAATTATTTAAAGTCTTTGCTAATGAAAACTGCCCCCCCCCCAAACAGAGACTTCGGTTTCGCGAATCCCTAATATGGCTCACAAATCTTGCAATCTCTACTGTAACTTTTTTAATCAAGGGATGTTGTTTATATCCGCACATAATTATTTAAAGTCTTTGCTAATGAAAACTGCCCCCCCCCCCCAAACAGAGACTTCGGTTTCGCGAATCCCGAATATGGCTCACAAATCTTGCAATCTCTACTGTAACTTTTTTAATTCAGATCTGAATGGAACATATTAAAATGATTGATAAGTGGAAATATTGTTGCTTCATTACATTTAATAATGCTCTTGCAATTATTCAAGTTTTTTAAAAATTATCTTTTACTTTATTTATATTGTTTACTAATGGCTCCTCATTTCTGGAAGAACCTTTTGTCAACTTGATCATCAAAGTCAATTAATTCATCGGGGTATTGTCTATAATAAAATTCTAGATTTGTATGTAATAATTCATCACAATAAATTTATTTGATTCATATTTTTATTTATTAGTTTATAACGTTATTAAGATGAATTCGAAATATTGATTTTGAAGATGGGTAATATTTTTATAAAAGGTTTAAAAATGGTGTAAAACTTAAAATAAACAAATATACTCCATTATTTCATATAAATTTTTAATATTTGAAACAAATAATCGAATAATTGTGTACTCATATTTGAACAAAACGAATAATTTATTATTCGTATTCGCTTTGAATCGTGACGATTTGTTCTTGAATTGGCTTAATGCTGACTATTCATTTTTGCGTGTTTAATTATTTCATGTAATGGCAGATAATCACCATATCTCACAAAAATTAGAATACTACAATTTTAATAGAAAACACTATATAATCATTAATTTTTAAATTCCTTTCGTCAAACTATATATATGTGTATATCAGCTGATAGACCTTTCCTTAAAATTTGCTTCCTATGACCCTAACTACAATTACGACGATAGTCAAATGGACTCATCCGACTTCTTGCCTTTAAGCGAAACAAACAAAAATAACGGTATCGAGGGTAAGATTAAAATTTCCTGAAAATATATTTTTAAACTCATGAGCATATTTTTTTCCATTGTTATCTTATTAAAAAAAATATATAACTATGTATGAATGGAATGACCACTTAAAATGCTTCTCTTTTTTTTACCTAAAACTGTGTCCTAAATATTTTGAAAAATACCCAAAATTCATAAATATTTGCAAATTAATAAAATTATGAAACCTGTCCGAAATATTTCATTATTTTTTTTACAATACGTGAATAAAATACGAAAAATCACATACTTTAATATTACTAGTTTTTTCATAAAAATTACCCAAATAAATATATTTGAAAAAAATTTTATTCAAATTTATTTATTTCTATTATTTTTAAAAAAAAATAATTGTAAATGACAATAAATGATTTAGAACACTCTTTTATTTTTACATTAATAATAGCATGTTATTTTTTTTTCTTCAAAATTAATAAATTTATTTACTTATATTTAGGACATAGCCTAATGTCACTTTTTGGAATTTTTAAAATGTTAAATTATAAAAAACAATCAAATTAAACTGGATAGCATTTATTATTTTATAACCCTTGTGTGCTAATGTGTCTTTTTTCTATTCCTCACATTTTAAAATTGTTATTACAAATAAGTAGTATTCGAACCTGATGTTTCGCCCTTCTAATTTATGTTAAACTTTTAGATAGTCTTCCATTTAAATTAAAATACCTTTTTTTGGATGTATGATTGACTATTTAAAACAATAAATATCGAGATCCATATTAAATTATTATGAATACGAGTTATAACATGTCTACACTGATTACCCTTATAAAAGAAAAATCAATTGCTAATGAAAATAATGGCATCGGGAACGAAGTCGAAAATGAAGACAATTTCAACGATAATGAAGATAGCTTGGAAGAAGATGACGAGGACATGAGTTGGAAAGTTAGGAGAGCTGCATCTAAATGTCTCAAAGCCATTATAGAATGCTCAACTCTGGATATGTTGCCACGACACTATTCCGTAGTATCGGCCAAACTCATTGGGCGATTCAAAGGTTTTTCTCTTTCTACTTTGATTTATTTTTTTTACAAAATCCCAATCAAAGATATTATATGAAATTTTATTTTCAATTTGTTTATTTAATTTGTTAATAAAATAAGTCCTTAATATTAAATGTAACATGCACTTTTTTGGGAAATTTTTATACAAAGAAAAAAGAAAGAAAGGGAAAAAATAACAAGGATTACACACGAAGTAAGCCATCACTGGTCTAAAAAATATTATTATTTGTTAGTTGATCCATTCTACGAATTATAGATGGTGATATTTTTTAGTAAAGGTCTAAGGTTATTTAAATTATACGATATTTAACTAAGCAATTATTATCAAGCTTAAAATAATATCTTCTTTATTATTCGTTTAACAATTGATTTGAAGGATTTTATATTAAATTGCTTCTTTTTTATAGGGTTGGGTATATAAATAGCTGGGGGTTAAATTAAGCGTATTGTGGTGTTTTTATTAATTGTGAGGATTTATTTCTGTTGGTCGGGGAGTATAAAAATAATTTTGGGTAGGAACACTTTGTATTTGCTAAAAGATACTTTCACTGCTACATGACAAAAAAGCTAAGATTACTTTTATAAAATATATCTATCTAGATATAGATACAATTTTTCAAGATTTCTTTAAGATTCCATTTTTATTGTAATCATATAAAAGTGTGCTACTAAAAATTAAAAAATGTAATTATATTTTAATAATGTTTTATTCAAAGAACGAGAAGAAAACGTAAAACTAGATTTGATCCAGGCCTATCTGGCGCTTTTAAAACAAACCAAGATCCTTTTGTCTAGCAACGTTGAAAATATCGACCTTTATAAAAAATCTGATAAATACTTGGAAGAGCATATGGATGATGATGATGGGTAAAAATATGTATAAGATTTAAAAAAATTTAATCCAGGGGCGAAATAAGACAATATCATGAGTTAGATTGTACGATTGATGAATAACATTTTCGTAATTGTAAATCTAATTACTCACATGATATATTATATAAAGAGAGAAAGATTGAAAGAAATAAACATCAAATTTAATGAGGCTTTTATTATTTATAAACTAAAAAAACATATGAAATTATCTCTTAACTTCAATTAGGCAACTATATAGAATTTTTTAAAGCTAGCTCTTTCAATATATTAAAGACACCGTTTATTATCGCCCATCGACAACGTTGAATTATCCATTGTTGTGGGCCACAATTTAAAGGATCAAATCCCCATGTTGCTCAAAGCCTTAAAACGACTCATCAGACACAAGAGTCATAAAATTAGGCAGATATGTTTTACTTTGCTCACCCAATTGACATTGACGTTGCCTGGAGGTTGTCTTAAGGACTCAATGTCTACTCTTGTATCTGGAATCATATTCTCACTCACGTAAATATACTTTTCAGACAGGCACTGATACCAAACTCGATACTTTAAATCGTTAATTGTGCCATGAGCTGAAATCGCGACAATTTACTCTTAAAAAATTAAATCTTATATAAAAAAACAATCAAATTATATAAAATTAATTTTTTTTTATTTTTAACATATTTTATTAATTCTTTTGTACATTTCAATAATTTAATTTTATTAATTCTTTACATAAATTTTTTCAATGTCTTTAATGCAAAATTAATGAAATAATCATTAAATAAAGATCGAAAAAAATTAATTTAATTTTGGTTTTTTTTATATAAACAAATATTTGTTTTTAATAATAAATTGTCTTTTATCAGCTAGTGGCTTTAGGTATAAAGTTTTATTTATTCTATATAATATATTTACACCTCCTGTTTTTTTTAAAAAAATTTAAAAAAGGAAGAATATGAAATAATATTTTCCTGGACCACAGGCCTTGTAGTTACCATGACTAGGTCGAACTCAAATATATGAGAGTTATTGACTTTAATTTGAAAATATATTCAGTAAATGTTGGATTGATTTTACTCCAACTTTTTATTGAGTTAATTACTTTTTCTAAGATTACCCAAGGCCAGTTGGCCCCTTTAATACCCCTTCCTCCATTCACAAGCCTGATTATTACTGTCAATTTTAAAAATTATAAAAATATTTAATTTACTATTTAGAGTTTAAATTTATATTATTTATATGATAATATAAAAAAAACAAATGATTTCCGAAAAGACCTCCATCAAAACCTCCTATTATTCAATTTCGAATACAAAAATTTTATTTTTATTTATCTTAATTATTCTAAATATTCGGTTTAAAAAAATTTTTCTGAAATTTTAATAACATACACTTTTTATTAATAAACATATCCCAGTTAAAGATAAAAAATATTTTTTCATCTCATCCTTTTTAATTAATATTGTTGTTTTTAAACCTAACAAGGTAAATGTTACTGATACATTCATATATAAAATATTATGGATAAGTAAATTTAATGATGTCGTTAAATCAAAAATATAATTAACACATTTTCCTAATAACGATTTTTATAGTGTTCTTCATTACTGTTTGTAATTGAAAATAAAGGTAAATTATTCATATTGATTACTTAAATCAAATATAACATTTTACAATCAAATGTATTCGGTAGGCTAAATATTTATCTTTGAGAAATTGTTTAAGTATTGACACTAAATTTATTACTCGTTTCGAATATTATCGAAACAGTCGTAGTCTTTAAACGAATAGAATTTGGAATTATATGCGTGGGTCATTCAGTATTTCATAACTTCGACTCATTGAAACAGTCATAATAATAAATTTTTAAGAAATATTGGGAATAAAATAGTGACCTACGGGCTACGACCCATATACATATAATAAAAATAATTATTTAGTGATTAAAAAATAAATACCATTATATATTATTCGTGTGATATTATAGTGCTTATATTTTATTTTAACAAAAGCGATAATAATAATACCTCGTCTGGAATTAAAATCGATGTACTTACATTTTTGAGCCACCTTCTGAAAACTCATTCACACCAAGTGTTCTACCCCTATATTCATCAACTTATACCGGTTTATATTATAAAATTATTTTATTTTTTTTAAAATAAAATAAAAATTTTATATTAATAATTACTTATAATTTATTTGTTTTTTATAAAATGCCAGAGAAAAAAGAAAGAGCCAAAAAATAAACAAAAGAAGAAACTAAAATGGATTTTTTTTTATATAATTAAAATTTTTTTTTCCATGAAGGCTCTCTTGAATGCCATAAACGACCCATTTTACAAGATAGTAGCCGAGGCCCTCAACGTCACAGAACAACTAGTTCAAATTATGAGGCCTGCTGAAACCAAAGGTTAATATTAAACTCTTTTTGATAAATTAAATAATTTCAGCTTTCAAAAATTCAAGTTAATAATAAGATATTTGATGATATTCGTATTTATAAATTACTTCTCAAATACGGATAATAAAATAAATAATTCTTGACATTAAAAATAAATCAAATTAAAAAAAAACACCTATTTTTATTTGCAAAAATATTTATCTATATCAAAAAGTATGAAAAATAGTTTGTTATTGATACTTAAAAATTATAACTTCAATTGAAAGTATAAAAAAATATACTATTTTCTTTTAAAGCTTCATCTCAACTACCGTTCGATTATACACCTTACATCGTACCCTTATACCAAAGTACACTCCAAAGATTGAATATCACTGATATCGATCAAGAGGTCAAGGAACGCGCCATATCTTGCATGTAATAAATATCATTTTTGAAAAATTAAATTAAGAGCCCGAACTGATGTAGTAGCAGTATCTTTCCAGTTGATTGGGAAAAATTATCAAACCGATAGAACGTTATAATAATTATATTTTTTCCAAGTGTGAATAATTTTTTTATCTACATTTTTCTAACTTAAAATTATTTATTTTTGAATTTTCCATTTTTTTTGTAAGCTATAATTAATATTTTATTTCTTCATTTTTTTTTATTCCACCATTTTAGAGCGTATTGTTACCAAATCTACCCTCAAAAATGCCATGGAAGCTTTTATTACATGTATTTTTTGTTTTAAATTCATGGCAAATTTACCCATAAGCACCTGTAAAAAGGAAATGTCGCTTTCAACCTTAAAATGGTTGTAAACATACTTAATAAAGAGCATGGATCTCCATAGCAAAGTGAATTTGTTATGGAGGTTCAGACCCGCTTAAAAACTCTATAGAGTCCCTTGTTTTTTAAAAAAAATTTATATGGATTAAAAATAAGATTTATTTGAAGTATCCCCAAGCATCAAAAATTAATTTTGGTATTTGATTGATATAGCGAGCGCTATCTCGCATACTACATTATAAGCCTGAAGAGTTTCCTGCTTTTACAAAACAGTTTAGATGTGAACCCCCCACCCCATCTCTTCTGATCCGGGTTTAAAATGAAAATTTAAATACACCACTGCCTTAAGCATATTTTTTTTACGTTCCTATATTAAATATAAAAATAAGCTATGTGAATATAGGTATAGGAACAAAAAGATAGTTTATATGCCCGAATTAATTAACCTTCAATAATCATCACAGTATATATTGTCATTCATGAATATAATTGTTAAAAAGTTTAAATAAAAACTACATTTGCGATATTAAATTGATACAATTATTAACCAACAGGTAAGTTATTATTATGGCACTGTGCTATCTGTGGATATGGGTGAAAATTTTTTGATGTAATAATAATTCAAAGTTTCATTACTCAAAACTTTTAAGAATTTCATATTTTATTCTTGTGAAAATTTTCACAATTCTTTAATTTTACATTAAAAATGGAAAAAGTGTTTGCTATATTAAATGCTACTAAGTTAGGACTATAATTTTTTAGTGAAATTTTTCACAATTCTTAAATTTAAATTAAAAATAGAGTATATTATTTAAAAATTTAAAAAAAGCGTGTCCTATATTGGATGCTACTAAGTTAGGAATATTAACAAATACTAGATAATTAAGCAATTTATTCGAATAAACATAACATATAAACTGATAATATATAGATATATGTAATTTTAAGTAAAAACATAAATAGTTCTATATAAATTTATATCATTTAAAAATTTAATTAATTTACTTAAATTTGACATGTTTTTAATATTACTAAAATAAGAATATTCACATATATATATATATATGAGAGGAAGACTTTCTTTCAGTTCTGGGGATGCTTGCCTTAGATCCCTCCATAAGCGCTCAATATGTTGAGTATGGGTCGATATATCATTTGTAAAGTTTCTGACGTGATGACCGAGTAATGATCATATTTATTTTCATTATTGTTATAACTTGAAAAAATATAAAATTTTAAGATTTGTGCGATCGTTTTAATAAAAAAATATTAAAAATTTCCCCGAGTTATAATTATTATATTACATCAGAAAATTTCCACCAATATCCAGACGATCGCATATTTATTATTTTTTTAATATAAAAAATAAAATTAAAAATTTCCCCGAGTTTTACCCATGATTGATAAGGATATGGATTAAAAAGGATATCGCATAAGAAAATAATAATATCAAATTCTTTTAATGATAAAAATTTTTTTATGGAAAAAAATAATTGATTGATAAAGATAATAAAATTCGCTAAAATATATCAAACTAGTCATATTATTGATATAAAAAATATTAAATAATAATATTTCCTAATTTATCTTAAAAGATTATATTTTAAATAACAAAAATCAACTGTTATTTAAATATTTTGCATATTTATAGTTATCAACTACATATTAAGAATTGCCCAATCATTACTTTGCTTCATTTTTCAAATTTAACTTAGTTATTGAAATATATATTCGTTTTTTTTCATTAAGAGCATTGATTCATATAATAATTAACAATTTTTTAATTAAATTACCAATGGTCCAATATAAGCTTGAACCGGATTTCATTGAGGTCACAAATACTCTTGTTTCTGAAATTTACTTAGGAGAATAATTAATATATAAAATAAATTTGATATTTATTTTAAAAAGGGCCCGCATAATTCAATTTTTCGGGGATAAATTGGATCCTCAACTCAATAAAACCTGTTTATTGATTTTTAACGAGCGAATGAAAAACGAGATAACTAGACTTGAAGCGGTTAAAGCTATCAAAGACGTTACAGAATCCCATTTTTTTCAAATCGATATCTTTCCACTTGCTGTAAACTTCAAAATTAAATTTTTAGACCTTGACTACAGTCCCACCCAAACATAAAATTATAAGATATACTAAGCCTAACCACCACTCGTGGGGTCGCTTGCTCCTATGATGAATTTTTTTTATTTAAGCCTACTGAGCAAGCACATTTCCTTCCCCAGCCATGTGACCATAACCCCCGATTGAATTTACTTTTATATTAGTCCACCTCTAATTGCCGCTAACATTAAAATATTGTTAAAAATTTGGTAAAAAGAGGTTAAAATGTGTGTGGTGCATTGTGAGAGATAGCCAAGGTCTATTTCTTCATTGCTTTAATTAAAAATGATTATATTTTACATTACAATATGTTTATTTGGACAAAGTCTACAACAAGCTATACAATTTAGTCTAATAGTATTTTACCTTATTTTCTTATACATCAATCAATGGCATATGAAATCCAAAAAATGAGGTTGCCATTAACCATATTTAATTATTGATTTATAATAATAGAAAGAATTTATTCAATCCCTGAGCCATTTCTTACGTAAAAATAACCGCGCCTTAAAAATTATATCGCTACTCACACTAAATTCCTTAATTAAACGTTATTCGGAACCAGATTGCATAAACGATTATTTGATGATAGAATTGCCCGTTCTTATCTCCGACAACGATTTGAGAATAACTGATGTAAACTTCCCTTTAAAACATTTTTTTTTTCAATAATATGAACATCAAGATGATTTAAAAAAAGGCTATAACATATTTCAATTTATTTGAGTTGAAACTTACATTGACCGATTCATCAGATTTTTAAAACATAGGCCGGGGCAAAATTTTTTATATAAATCCTAACTAGACTGCCTTTATCTCTGCAGGTCTCTATTAGTTAGGTTTTATTGTTAACCTATATTATAAGGTTATAACTCACCATTTTGGTAAAAATTGAGTCTTATAATTGCATGTTTCGATCAGATTCGACCGAAAATTGCATATTTCGATCTCTTTTCGTTATTTTTATGGTATATAAGCAGATTTGATGTACTTATTATAATCTTTAAAAAAATTATTAGCTTGTACTTAGATTACTTAGTACCATATGCCGTTTCCACCCTTCCTGCATATACAAAGCCTGGACCGTGGATAAGGATAATAAAGGAGATAACAAAAATTATTTTGTTCAATCGCTCTGCAGATTAATTATGTCCCCATTGCTGCAAGGTTGACCATTCATATTTTTACTCCTTTTTATTTTAATTTCTATTGCTCTATTGACATTTTATTTATTTTTTTAGTTTGCTAATAGAAACTGAGTGATATATAAATTTGTTTAAAACATTATTTTTCGAAACATTGTTTAAATTTACTTGTTAGCAGTTTAAGAATACCTTTTATAATAAATTGTGGCTCAGATAGAGTAATCTAATACCCAACAGACGAGATATTACTTTTAAATTTACAAGTTATTTTTTTAAAAAACCTATAGGCGAAGCATTGCGTTCGTTACTGAGATTTTTCTTAGATTTGGTTATGATTCGATCACCACATCCACTCGACATGGATAAAATAATTGAGGTTAAATTTTATATAATTTTTTCATTTGTTAAATAAAACAAATACAATTCCGGCTAATGATCAACACTGAGCGGTTAAATAATTTTAGTCGAAAAATATATGTCAAGATATTACTTTTTTTAAACCCTCAAAATTATCAATTAATATTTATTTAGCTATGCCCAGCTTATTATAAACTATCCCTAAATCACATCAGGCATTTACCCACACCTAGTTTAGTTTAGGTATAGTAGATACTTAGAGCTTAATTTTTAAAAATTAACTATCATATTTTAATGTTTAAATTAGACAAAAAAATTTTTTGGAGGTTTTATTTATTACCAATTTTTAACTAACGATTTAATTATTTTATCTGGGCTGTGAAACTCCTTATAAGACAGGGTTTAGGTGGTGAAAAATCTGTGAACTAGAGTGTGGGCTTAACGGATCACAAAAAATAAAATGGCTTATAAAAAATATTTAAAGTTATACAAACATACGTTTTTTTAAATATAATATTTTAAGGTGACAATGGCTTATAATAAATCGAAATATAAAATTTCCTTTCCTAACTCCTTTTTTTATATGGTTTTATTTTATTGAGTTTAAGATATTTTCTAAATTATTGGTTTTTTGGTTCCTAAAATTTGGGTCAGGTCCTTGTGTTTAAGTTTGACGCGGTTCTGATGCTTTCGGTTCCTAGCGGTTAAAGCTACCAGAAAACATTTAAAAAGATTACAAGAATAAATAAACCCTCCAAAATTAATTTTCCTTTTGTTAAAACCGGCTTATTTTTCTTAATTTAAAAAAAGGGTTCAGATTCCTAGATATATTCCACTTCCAAGAATTCGAGTGGCAAACTGATCATAATAGCTTCCATATGGCTAACTTAAATTATGATAATATGTATTTTAATGAGAAAAATATCTTCGAGAATAAACAATAACTCGATGTAAAAAAAGCGCATAAATTTTAAATTATTATGTGAAGTTTAATTAAACTATTTTACCTAGTTACTTTTTTTTCTTGGGTTTTACATAATTTCATAATCTAAATAGTCTAACAAACAATCACAAAAACCTTTCTAAAGATATAATATATTAAAAAATCAAGAAAAAATGTTTAAAAGTGGAAATAAATAGTAAAAAATATCTCGAAGTAAAATCACAAGGAACCATGTCATATCCCAGCATTTTTTTACCCTATGTGCAATACTCCTTTACTAAATCCTCTAACCATCTATCAGCACGACAGCTTTCTTCCTAATTAAATTAAACTCCAAAGTCTATACTATGAGATCGTTATATCAGGACATTCTACTAGTTTTCATGAAGCTATTTATTCTTCTCCATAGGAATTAAAATATAAAATTTTTTCTTTCCTGGTATCAAGTTACACTCTCAAGTAATTAAACCGACATGATATTCATTAGTTTATTTATGTTATTTATTTTACTACTTAATTTATAAATTGCGTGTCAAAGAAGTGCTCAAAGCCCACTGATGAAATTATATTATTTGTATGATAAGGCTATCCGCTTAAATACCGAACCATACTATTTCCCTTCCTAATACACTTCCTTTTGTCTTGATATTATAAATAATAAATATACTATATATTTTTTTTTACACAATATAAAATAGTTGATAACCCAGCCTATATACAATTATCACCAAAATCTACAAACTTTCCAATCAAATAACAATTCCATTATGCCTGCGAGACTTTCAAGCTCTCCTGTCCAAAATCAACTACAGCTTAACAGAGTTCCCCTTGGGTTTTCGTCACCTCTTCCACCGGCTCCAAATCAACCTGTGAATTTTAATAGTTATAACGATGAAAATCTCACTGCTATTCATAAACAAGTTAAATAAATTATTCTCACGAAACCAACTTGCATATAATTAGTCTGCTTTTTATTAAGGGATAAGCTAATTTAAAATTGTTTTTTTTGGTAAACAGGCCTTGGTCAACATAGCCAAAGTTGTGGGTATCATGGTGTCGGCGTCTTCCATTTTAAAATCTCTTCCATCTTCCCATTCTGAAAATTTGAATTATGCTGATAATGCCAAAATACCTACTCCTAACCCCAAGCAGATAGAGTTAGCTCAACGTTCTTTGGCTCAAATCAGACAGTATCTTACCACCATATCCCAAAACAACAATGCTCGAAAGCATAGCCTTGTCGATAATAGTTTACCGATGTCCGTTAATAATAGCTTGAATGAAAGAGTTGTTGTCATATTTTCACTTCTCTGCCTTGGAGAAATGGGTAAGGAATGCGACCTGTACACCTATTTTGAGGACGTGCTGCAAGAAAATGTGTGTGATTTGATGTCTGTTTGTTTTAAATCCCCTTGTGAGGATATCAAATTTGCGGCCGCCTATGCTCTGGGTAAAATCTCTTATATATTATATTTTTATTTTGTAACTTATTTTATTTTTATCTCAGTAAATATATAGATTAGAAGGATTAATAATAGATTAAAAAACAAATAAATACATGTCTATTTTTAAATCAAATAACTAAGATTTTATTAAAATAATTATGAAATTAATGTTTATGCTTTTGCTAATTTTAAATTTATTTTGCCAAGTTTTTTTAAAACCTTTTTTGCCAATATTATTACTTATTTTTACATTGTTTAAGAAACGTTAAGAGCTTTTTGAACTATTAAAGATATTAAGATAAACAGAAACAAATATAAGGGTTATGGATAGGTTAAAGTTAGATAAATTATTCAAATTCTTTTTTTCGTAGGTAAAACATAGCAATATTTTCTAAGTCTTAACAATTATCTATTTAAAACTTAAATAGATCCTTATAAATTATTTTGGGGAAAATCAAATATTACAAAGTAATGTTTTCTTAAATCTCAGGAAACATTGGTTCAGGGAATTTGTATAAATTCATACCATATATACTTTTGGAAATACAAAAATCTCCCAACAAACAATATTTGCCTCTACACGCCCTCAAAGAAGTAATATATTATACTTTTTTGAGTTTAACATTCAATATACATTATGTGTTTGATATTATTATTATTATATCTTAATTTCAGCAAAAAAGTATAAAATTAAAAAAAAACAGTTTGTCTTTTGTGTTCTTTCTAAATTAATTTTGAGTTTAGATTTTTCAAAATATAACAATTTATTATTTATTTTTTTGAATTTTATTTCAAAATAAAATTATTGCAGATTAATTGCTAACATCGACATTTCAGATTTAGTATAAATTTTACTTATCATGCATTTAAAAAAGAATAATCTAAAATAAATTTGATTTGGTTTGGTATTATAGTATAAATTAAAAAAAATTCTATTTGATTTTTGCCTTATTTTGTTCTTGCTTTTATGAAATTTCTAAAATATGTGTTTCAGTGCATCTTCATTTAATTTTTTTTAAAACAGATTTTAAACGATCGTTCTCCTCTCACATTTTCCCGTTTATCGTGCCATAATGTTAAACCTATATGGTCTGCCCTTTTAGATAACATAAATTTATTAGGTTCTGGGGAGGAAGGAACGCGTAATGTTATCTCGGAATGCCTTGGGGAGTTTTGCGCCCTAGATCCCGAGGGCTTAATTCCCGCCCTCGACCACACTTTAAGTTCACTGAACAACGGAATCAAAGGTAATAACATTATATAACATGTTTTTTTTTAGTTTTAATACATATATCATTATTTGAGTCACAACTTGACGAATATTTTAGAATTAAAACTTGGTTAAGCTGTTTTTTAGTTGACTAAAATACGACGCCATCTCTTACTATTTTGAAAATGTTATTCTATAAAATTGTAATTAGGACGGAATAATATAATCCTCTATTGACCATATTTTCTATACGATAAAAAGAATATATTATTGTTTTAAAAATCTACAATCATATTCCTCGATTAAAGACATACTATTTTACAAATACACTATTATTTGGCTATTTAAAATTGATATATCGAAAATATTTGTTTCAATCACCCCTTTTCTTTTTCAGCCAATAGTTTAAAAAGCTAAAGATATAAGATACAAATTTATGAAAGCTTATTTAAGATTTATTAAACAGGCCTATAATACTTTTATCCTAAATCTCTAACATTTTATAGTAAAGATTTAATATAATGTCATTGTATTTAAATATTTAAAAGCAGCAGATGACAAGATTCATTTGGATGCCAATGAAACGAGTCTGTCTGCTACAAAATCACTGGCTAAATGTACAGTAGTCGCATCAATAATTCATTGCGTCTCGTCCACTGCTCAAGTTTATAATTTTTGTTTGTTTTCGAAAATTAATATTTTTTATCCCAACTTACCATAGCATTTTATCTATTAATTTATTTTTATTATAAACAAACATTCTTTAAATCTAACTAGCAAAGGAATCAAAACGTTAACGGGGGCCTTTCCCACCATTTACAATCACAGGTCAATTATTCTGGCCTTTCAACTTGCTCCAATAACAAAAACCAATTGGATGATAATATATCAGAAAACCTGGACAATCCAATAGATTTTGACAATGGCCCTCCTTCTTTTATACAAAACCAACACAATTATCCTAAATACGCTCAACAAATCAATTGCATGAGCACGATAGATAAATTGCTCAAGAACCATTTCGGAAGTTTTCTATCGAGTCTACAGGATGGAGACCCGAATGTTAGAAGGATGGGATTGATTGCCTTAAATTGTGCGGCCCATAATAAACCCTTTCTGGTCAGGGACTCCTTAAAAGAGATCTTGCCTTACCTTTATAACGAAACTAAAATTAGGGTAATTATCAAAATAATAAGTGGCTGATGAATATTTTAAATTATAACCATGCACGGACAAATTAGAGATACTCTTTTATCGGGGTGACTAAGTCAACAAAATAGTTTCTTTTTTTTTATCTGACTGGTTAATATTCAATTTAAATTGTTTTTTGGTTCCGATACCAATTTTTTTTTACCTATACCAAAATATTTTTATCCCAAAAATTTAAGTTTTCACATTTTTCACACAAAATTATTTTTAATTATTAATTTAAGCTATCTTCTTTTAATATTAATATTTTCAGAGACCTGCAAGGGTATCATTTGCACTGCCCCGCCCGGATTTTTTTTTAAAAAAAAATTTTCGGCCCGGCTTTTTTTGAAAATATATTATATTTATTTTTGATTTTTATAGCTAATGGCGATTTCAAATATTTGGTTTTAAAATATACGGGGCCCGGATATTTTTTTAAAAAAATTTTCAGGCCCGGCCCAGATATATTTAAAAAAAATTAAAATACAGCCCAGCCCTTGTACCCGAGCTTAGGGCCGGACCTGCAGGTCTCCGATATATATTCTTTATAATAAGATTAATTCTAAAACAAAATTTTTAAATGAAAAATTATAATTATCAACCTTTTCTTGCTCCATAGACATTTGTAGATTAAAATTTTTTTCTCATCAATTCTTGGCTTAATGTAGGCCAATTTATTTTTTTAAATTTATTAGGGTTATTCATTATAATGGATATCAGTTACTGGTATCGTTAAAAATAAAAATATAAAGTATCCGGTATCAGTTACTGCCGATATGGTACATCTATGAGTTTGACGGGATTTTTGAATAAGATATATGTATATGGTTAAATGTTGTAAGAGGAATACATATTTTTATTAAATATATCATATTATAAAATCTTTTTAATATAACGCCATCTATATTAACTTTTTTATTTATAAAAATAATAAAATTTTAATAAAATTAAAAAAACAAAAATATCAAGATTTTTTATTGAATCGTTTAATATAAAGGTAATAAACATTTTAGAGAATATCAACACGCAAAAAAAATCCCTTCCTAACAATTAATTTTTTTTCGAATTTTGCAATGTAAAATTTTCATGATATATAATTTGTAACTTTATCTTAAGTATTTTAGAAAAAAAATAAGATTTAATGAAATCTCGCACTTCGCGATTTTCGACTTTGAAGGCGTATATCTTTGGATTTGATGGAACTAGCACTCTAAAATTTTGATTTTATTAACATATACAACATAAATAACTATCATGCCAAGTTTCGTTGATTTTAAAGATGGTCGTCCGAAAATCTCGTTTTTTTGGTCGATTTGACGTGGAATGACCCAAGACTTATAATTAAATCATTAAAATTAATTGAATAAAATTGTAGCTTTATTTGTAACATATATTTAACTATATATTACATATGTCTGGACTAATTCAGCTTTCATTTTTTGAAGAAATATAATTTAAAACTAACATAAGATTCTATTCAATAATAATAAAATGAAAAATAATCAATCCTTATATATATATATATAATTTTTTGAAAATGTTATATTTAAACATTTGAATAATAAAATTAAAATAAGGAAAATAAAAGTAATAAACCTTGTACAAAAAAATGATATTTTGTCAAACAAATTAATTGAAATAATATAATACTAAAAATGATTAAATTAGATTTAAGTATTGATTATAATAATATAAATATTCAAAATCCAGATATTTATAATATATATATTTAAAAAATCCAATCTTTATATACAAATCGATTTACTTATTATCAAAATCAGATTTATCTATTTAGTATTAATGTTATTTAAATCGTTTTCTGGTGACAACTTAAATAAATAACCCAAGGCTTAATAATTAAATGAAATATTTATGATAATAAAATAATGTTGAAGTTATTAAAATCTCAATATATATAATTATGTCTATATTATCTAGTTAGTAATAACTAATAACATGTTAGGATTATATCATGTTCATTGTCAGTCGATTTTCAAGAATCCTAGTTCTAGTTGTTTTTCTCTTCATATTTTCTTTCTCCAATTAGCGCTGTTAAAAGCGTCTTCGGGTTAAAAGTTGATTATCTTCATATAACTCCCTATCCTGGTAATGACCTTCCATATCTTTTTTTGGCCAAAAGACCGATATTTTATTAGTTTTTTTTATAAATTTGAAGAAATATTTTCAATATAGTGTATATTATAAAATTTTCCGGGACATCAAAGATTTTAATAATTATTCTTTGGCTAATCTCTAACTAGGCTCTTTGTGCCGGTTGCTAGGATAAGAGAGGGAAGCCACTGCATCAATCACTTATGATCTATCTTTTATTTTATAACATTTTCTGATTATTTTTGGTGTATACCAGAATTCGAAATACTCTTCAATATAAAAAATCTTCAAAGATTTTTTTAAGAATGCTCAAACATGTTTTTGATTAAATTTTATCTAAAATTTGAAATCTTTTTTGTAAAAAATCTTTTATAAGCATCTACCATGATTTTTATAAATGAAAAAATCTTTCATGATGAAATAACAAATTTTTTAAACAATGATTTTGAACTTCTTAAATTTTTTTTTAAAGATTATATGCTCAATATTTGAAAATTTTTAACTTTGGTTTATATTAAATCTAATTCAATTTCAAACATCCATCTAGAGCCCAGCAAGTCGACCCAGAGTCTTGCTCTCATCTAGATATTTAAAAATATTTCGGGTATGGCTCTTTTAAGTTTTTTAGAAAAAATCGAGCATATGGCCTAAAAAATACAAAAATAGATTATATATAAAATGATGTTTTATTATGTTCGATCAAAATAAAATGATAATAAAATTTATCTGTGTTAAATATAAGTAACAATTTTATTAATGGATTTTTTATTGTAGAAGACTTAAGGCTAGAAACGTTATACTATATTATATTTATTTTAATATTAAATTGATGTATATATACTTAAATGATCATTATTACTTTCACCTTTTGTTTTTATTTGATCTCAAATTGTTATAATTCCGAACTTAACTCAGGGTGTTTAATCAGTATTGGGAGAGCCATTAAGAATCCAAGGTTTGTTAAATCTTTCTTTATTAAAATAAAAGATTAATTTTAATAATAATGATGTTTAATAACTTACCCTTGAGTACCTAAAATATATAATGTAATTCCTCTCAATAATTCTAATTTATCAAATTGTATGTTTACCATTGTAACATTTTGAAAAATTAGAATAAGAATTGGAAGATTATAATCGTTGTCAAATAAGAAAGGTTAGAAAAAAATGATACTAAATCAGACTAATATCCTCGTTAGAACTAAAATGATACTAACTCAGACTAATATCCTCGATTATATATATTTTTCTATAATATTCGTCAAATCAGAAAAGTTAGAACTAAAATGATACTAACTCTTTATTAAATAATAAGTTAAAAATATAATCAAACTAAATTAATTAAAAAAATAATAAAAAATTAAAATTAAAAATTATAATTAAGTTCGTAAAATCATGATCTCTCCTTATACAAATATCCTCGAATATATATATACTTTTCTATAATTCATTTACATAATGTTTTACAAACAAACTGAAAAAAAATCTTGAACTTTCTTTAATTTGAATAATCATTCTTTTTTATTCATCTTTCTTTAAATCATTTGCATTCGAAATTTAATTCTTTTTTCTTGAGTAGATTTGAATATCCTTCGGCTTTGTAATTTGGTTTAACAATTACAACACCCTTCCACTTAGATTAGTCCCACCATTCTGCGAGTATAGGCATGGTTCCCGATACATTCTTCTAGCTCTTTTAATTATATCTCGTTTTACTCCCACATTAACCTAGTCTTTGCTTGTTTCTAACGGTTTCTAGTAACTAATGACGGTAAATCTCTGACGATAATTTGTCTGCGAGTAACGATGGTTTCCACGACTTCTTGTTCGATTCTTTATCCTATACTAAATTTTTGATAAGCAATTGGCTATAATTTGTCTATGATTAACGATAGCATCCTGGTCTTCTTGTCAATATATCCACTTTGCCTTAAGATCTCTTATACGATAATTTGATCCAAAATAAAAATCCGATCTCTAATTGAGCTCGATTGCGGCATAAATTTTCTAATGACGAAAAGCCGTTTCTCTTTATGAAGATTTTTTGGTTAATCAACAACCTTTTATTAAATAATATGATAAAAATATAATCAAACTAAATTAATTTAAAAAAATTAACATAATAAAAAATTAAAATTAAAAATTATAATTAAGTTGGTAAAATCATGATCTATCATTATACAAATATCCTCGAATATATATATACTTTTCTATAATTCATTTACATAATGTTTTACAAACAAACTGAAAAAAAATCTTGAACTTTCTTTAATTTGAATAATCATTCTTTTTTATTCATCTTTCTTTAAATCATTTGCATTCGAAATTTAATTCTTTTTTCTTGAGTAGATTTGAATATCCTTCGGCTTTGTAATTTGGTTTAACAATTACAACACCCTTCCACTTAGATTAGTCCCACCATTCTGCGAGTATAGGCATGGTTCCCGATACATTCTTCTAGCTCTTTTAATTATATCTCGTTTTACTCCCACATTAACCTAGTCTTTGCTTGTTTCTAACGGTTTCTAGTAACTAATGACGGTAAACGACGATAATTTGTCTGCGAGTAACGATGGTTTCCACGACTTCTTCTTCGATTTTTTATCCTATAATAAATTTTTGATAAGCAATTGGCTATAATTTGTCAACGATTAACGATAGCATCCTGGTCTTCTTGTCAATATATCCACTTTGCCTTAAGATCTCTTATACGATAATGATTTCTTGTATCTTTTGATCCAAAATAAAAATCCGATCTCTAATTGAGCTCGATTGCGGCATAAATTTTCTAATGACGAAAAGCCGTTTCTCTTTATGAAGATTTTTAGGTTAATCAACAACCTGATATTTTGCTAAATATTATCAACTTAAATAACAGTCAACCATATATCTTTAATAAAAATTTATAACGAATTTCTTTTAGCTACATCGATCACTTGTACGTATAACGATCTCTTGTGACGCATTCTTTTTAGCTAAACGACTAATTCTCCGAAATACGACCATTAATATTGATACCATTGTTTTATTGCTCTCATTCTTTGTCTTAGTGATAGTCATCTCATACATCCCCTTCCCCCTTTATTTAGAATCTCTTTTCAGAGTTAATTAGACTGACTTTTGATCTTCTAAATCTTGGATCAATCGCTGTAAGACACCACTGAACCAATATGGTATTGATATTTATATTGCTGAGGCTAGTGGGAGAGTTAATTAGACTGAATTGTTGAAATTGCCCTGTCGCCTCCACTCTCCAACATCATTGTAACATTTTGAAAAATTAGAATAAGAATTGGAAGATTATAATCGTTGTCAAATAAAGAAAGGTTAGAAAAAAATGATACTAAATCAGACTAATATCCTCATTAGAACTAAACTGATACTAAATCAGACTAATATCCTCGATTATATATATTTTTCTATAATATTCGTCAAATCAGAAAAGTTAGAACTAAAATGATACTAAATCAGACTAATATCTCGATTATATATATTTTTCTATAATATTCGTCAAATCAGAAAAGTTAGAACTAAAATGATACTAACTCTTTATTAAATAATAAGTTAAAAATATAATCAAACTAAATTAATTTAAAAAAAATTAAAATAATAAAAAATTAAAATTAAAAATTATAATTAAGTTCGTAAAATCATGATCTCCTTATACAAATATCCTCGAATATATATATACTTTTCTATAATTCATTTATATAATGTTTTACAAACAAACTGAAAAAAATCTTGAACTTTCTTTAATTTGAATAATCATTCTTTTTTATTCATCTTTCTTTAAATCATTTGCATTCGAAATTTAATTCTTTTTTCTTGAGTAGATTTGAATATCCTTCGGCTTTGTAATTTGGTTTAACAATTACAACAAAATTAAAAATTATGTTAATTTTTTTTAAATTAATTTAGTTTGATTATATTTTTATCATATTATTTAATAAAGATTTAGTATCATTTTAGTTCTAACGTTTATTATTGGACGAATATTATAGAAAAGTATATATAATCGAGGATATTAGTCTGATTTAGTATCATTTTAGTTCTAACGAGGATATTAGTCTGATTTAGTATCATGTTATTTTAACCTTTCTTTATTTGACAACGGTTCTAATCTCTCAATCCTTTCAAAACTTTCAAAATGTTACAATCTTAGTTGAAAATAAAGAATTAAATTATTAATATTCTTAATCTTCACGGATTCCACATTCTAAAATTGATGATATATTCTTAACCTTCAATCTTCCGTAGTTATTCAATACAATCGTCCCCAATTCTTTCTATACCTTTTCCACTAGTCCATTATGGTGGAGGATAGGGGCACCAGCTTATTGGAAGCTGGTGCGGAGACTGAATTCAACATATGTGCCCCTGGTATGGGTCTGAGTTGAAGAGACTGGTTACATCCTTTGCGTGTTAGGTATGGGTCTGAAGATGAAGAGACCTTTGTTTAAAGAATGATTCAATTTAATCGTTATAAAAAAACAAAAGGTGAAAGTGATCATTTAAGTATATTTACAAAAATAACATCAATTTAATATTAAATAAAAATCATTGTATAACTTTTCAAAACATCAATTTAATATTAAATATAATATAATATATCGTTTTAAGCCTTAAGTCCTCTACGATACAAAATCCATTAATAAACATTGTCACTTGTATTTAATATAAATCACCCCCCCCCCCCTTAAAAAAAATATTAAAAAAAAATTAAGTAATGTCAATACAATTGAGAAATAATTTTGAGAGAATATCAAAAAACTGGGAAAAGTATATCAAATATCATAACAAGAATTAAAAATTTGTATTACGGGGTATATGTGATACATATATTATCAAAAATTTATAAGAAAATATTTGGAAGAAATAGTAAAATGATTAGTATACCAACAAATCAAATAAATTGGGAGGGGAGTGGGGTAGGGTCAAACTAGCAATACAATAAAGTTTTTTTTTCGTAATTATACCCTTGACTTCGACAACATATATAAGAAAGGTATAATTTACACTATAATTGTGCTAGTAGTTATCCATAATAGTTTTTTTTCGTAATTATAAATAAATTACACTATATATGGTTAATGGAAAGGGGTCAACCTAAAAATAGCATATAGCTTTTTTTCGTAGTTATACCCTTGACTTAGATCTACAAGAAAGGTATAACTTACACTATATAAATTGGAATAATATAATAATAATAACCAAAACTGGTTTTAATTTAATTATTATATTACCACATTCCAGAAATTGCATTACTTTAAATACTAATCCTTGTTATTAAACAAAAAAAATTAAATTTACAAGTTGAAAAAAAATTTCTTCTTGTTCATTAATCTGCTATAAGACATAACAATTAGTAATTTTTACTTATAAAAATGCGTTCAATTTTTATATTTAAATTAAAAATTCGAGCCGAGCTCCTGCTTAAAAATAAATATCGGGCCGAAAAAAATAGAATTTGCGACTTTACACACAGTCACAAACAGATATAAAATAAAGTAATTATTTATAATTATTATTTTATATTTTTTAGAAGGAACTAATAAGGGAAGTCGAAATGGGGCCTTTTAAACATTCCGTGGACGATGGTTTAGATTTAAGAAAGGTACGTTTTTATTATATTAATATAGTATACTAATCGATGTACCATTGAAAAGCTCATCGTCATTTTATCATGGACAGTCATTTCACTATACGTTGAGTCGTTATAGAGAGATTAGGTTACTTAATACTGCTCTCATATTATAATAAGTTATTATTTTTCAACCCGATTGTTATGGAATGACGGCTACCAATGAAAAAATTACGATAGTCGTTTTATTTGTAAAATTATTTAAAATTCCTCACTTCACAAATGTTGGTGTCCATATTTTGAAATATAATGATTGTTTTGCTATTAATTAATTTTTTTTATTTGATGATTTTTTTAAAATAAATTTTGTTTAATAAAATATTTTTATTACTAAACTTTTATAATTTTACTTAGCCGAATTAGTCACCTTTACGGGGGCCTATTACTATTTTTTTTATCTATAATTACAAAGCTGCTCTTTAGAGTCAAAGTTCATAACATCCTTAATATGCCTATCTGAATGTTTATATGAAAATATTGGAATTTTTATATTAGTGAATATTATTTTATAGGGCTAAAAAATCATGCGAACGAAGGTCTCTGTTTTATAATTAATTTAGCCCGTTCTCCCTTTTATTTTAGATTTAAAAAAAAAATTAAATCTCATTTTATTTTCGGTTCAGACATCCTACGAATGCATGTATACTCTGGTTGATTCTCCAACCTGCTTCGAGAAATTAGATTTGGATCAATTCCTAAATCACGTCGAAACGGGTCTTAAAGATCATTACGACATTAAAATGCTGACTTACTTGATGCTATCACGCTTAGCCTGCCTTTGTCCCTCTGCTTTGCTTTTACCAAGTATATTATTTGTTTTAGTTTAATTAAAATTTACATTTTTTTTAGTTTAGATTAATTTTTTAGCCAGTTTTTTGGCTAGTTTTAAATACTATTCCACCATTGATATTCGCCACCTCAAATTTAAATATAATTATTAATCTCTTAAAAAATTATTTCAAATTTCATTTTTGTAAATTATAAGGAAAATATATGCGTTTTAAAGGTGGCCACCTTATACTTAGATATTCTTCCACATAATTTCAATTTGTTAAGGCTAAAGGTGTTTTAACAAAATTTTAGAATAGGCGAAAATAATGGTCATTTAAATAGATTTACCTATTTTAAATCATATATATTTAAATAAGTTACATTAAATTTTTTTCATGATATTTTGGTATTTTTTTACTTAATAAAGTTTTTTAATTTTTTTAAAGTATTTTGTTAAATTAATTTTTTTAATGAGCTAAAAAAAATAAGAGTGGTCGGATATTAATGATGTGTGGTAGTATATTAATATAGTCGTTATAAATAAGAATTGTTAATTAATTTAAAAAAATTTATATTCATATTGTTGTAAATTTTGTTTTGCTCATATTTGAATTTAAGCATATTTACATAATTCTTATATGATAGGAATTGAACGGTTGTTGGAACCTTTGAAGACAATTTTAAATAGCAAAGTCAAAGCAAATTCCGTTAAACAAGAATTTGAGAAACAAGAGGATCTTAAACGATGCGCTCTTAGGGCTTCTATATCCTTATTAACCTTACCCGATGCTGGTAATATGCTTGAGACCAAGATAAATTGCCTCTTAATATTTCATGCGATTTTTCTAGCTTATATTTTACAAGGGTTGAAAAAACAAGTCGTATTCTTATATGATTTCAAAATCATAACTATAATATGGCTCAGTTTTGCTACCCTAAATCATATTAGAAAGCCGTATTAAAAAAATTCCTCAAATAATTTTTGAAAACAAAATCTATCATTAAAATATTTTTTAAAAATTTTAATATTTATAATTTGGCTGCTCCGATATTAATGTTGGTATCGGATTGGCGCTGATATTGATCATAAGATCAGATAGACTAATCTTTTTATAATACCGATCGTTTTTAATAATTTATATTTAATTTAATTTCTATCTTTTTTAACAATATGGTAGTATGTAGAGGTCGGCCCAAATTGGCCCATGGAAATTTTCTATCCGATATTGGTCTAGCTTTTAATTATCTTTTACCCGACCCAACCCATAAAATATATTTTGTACAAGTTGTCTAACCCAGCTAATAATAATTTTTTATGAAAAAACAACATTAATTTCCCACATTATCAACTTTAAAATCATTTCAAAACATTGGCCCACTTCATAAAAATATTTTGCATAATTTGTCAGGCTTCCGGCTGACTGCACCAACCTCTAATAATGAGTAATATAGATATCGTTCAATTTTATAATTTAAGGAATTAAAACATAACTTCATTTCTGATATATTTACTCAACCATTCAATAGATATAAATTCAGCATCGGGTACAAATATTAATGCCGAAAATCTGGATTTATCCTATTTTTAAAAGGCTGATAAATCTAGATTTTGGCTGTTTTTTTAAATTCGGCGAAATCTAGGTTCACTACCTACAATCAAAAGGTAATAAAATTAGTCTATAATCTTCTGAACCTGAATTTGATAACGATAAATTGAATGATCATATTTTTATTTATTATTTTTTATCGGATCGGGCCGATAATTTATCTTTTTTAAAATATTGGTTATCAGTCGATATTATAAAATTTTTCGATAGGATATTAAAAAAATTTTTTAAGTTATATCTAAAAAAAACCACTATTTTTATAAATAAAATGGAAATCCATTTTAATAATTAATTTATAATTTACATATTTTATTACTTATTATATAAATAAGTAATTTATCAATAAAAATTTTTATATACTCTTATATTCATAAATATAAACTTAAACTGATCGTTATAATATATTTAATGACATGTTATGGTATAGTTAAATTATAGATGTTAAATACTATCAAAAAGTATATGAAATGAGTAGATGTATGCATTAAAAATTAAAACGATTTGTATGTTTACAGAATACAAAATCAAATACAATATCTGATCGGATCAGAATCGGCCGATATCAATTAATATCGGATCGGCCTCCAAAAAGTGGTATCGGCACGTCCTATAAAATATATATTATATTATTTGGAAAATTAAGTTGATTTTAAAGAATAACTTTTTTTTTCATCAGATTTTCTCCAAAATTATAGGTATTTAAATTATTAAAGGTATAAATAAACAGATTTCAGTTCCACTTGCATTATATACCAATGCGTTAAAGGGATCTTTTTTACATAATGAGTATTTTAATATGTTAATAAAATAACGGGCAAAAAAATACAACGATGATTAAATGGGCTCAATGGCCCCCACAAGCGCTAAAGATAGCTATAAATCACAAACTACGGATTGAATGAAACCCAAGATAATTTTGCACACATATATTTTCCTTAAAATTATTAAGCTATTGAAAAATCTTCATCAAAATACCTTAATAATTTCAAAAAATCATATTTTAAAATTTCTTGAGGTTCTAATTATGCCCAACCTGCGATTTCGAGGATTAAACAGAAAACAATTGCATAAGATAATAATAAACATGAAAACAGAAGATACAAACCTTTAACTTGTCTGAAAAATTAGTAATCAATTTGAATCACTAATATTAAAGTGGCGTTCATTTTGATTTGTATGCTATTTACTAAAATTTATTTATAATTTATTGATTTACCCTTAGTATATAGTGCATGTAAGCCTCTATACGATTTATAGATAAAAATTTATCACTATTCTGTCTATATTAAATTTTATCTTGAAATTTAGTAGTTATCAAAATAAGATTCATGGCGATCTAATATAATTTAGGATAGTATGATATGGTAACCATTACGCTTTATTATTACGGTTCGGTAAATATTAGTATAAAATTTGAGGAGATTCGAAAAATTCTAATTATATTCTATTTGATAGTAGATTATTGCCTTCTTCGCCAATAGCTTCACTAGGGCGAGCTCGAGTCCCTTGAAAAATTTAAAGAGCCCCCCTGAATTTGTTTTAAAAATAGAACGTCATTTTGAAAATATTATCTAAAAAAGGGGGTTTTTTGATAATATAGCTTTAAAAAATCATTTAAAAAGGTAATTTTGAAAATGTAGTTTAAAAAAGGTCATTTTAAGAATTTTAGTTAAAAAAAGTTCTTTTGAAAATATTAGATAAAAGAAGATATTTTTTGAAATATTTGAGAATTTCATAAAATTTTTTGGGCCCCCTGAAATTGTAATCTTCTTTGGGGTTGAGGTATTTGTCAATTTTCTTATAAGTGGTTTACCTTATTTTTATATAAACGAGATTTTAGGAAATAGTTATGTGTGAATGATATACTAAAACTCAGAGCTCCTCCCATCTAATCAGCAATACCTGGCCGTATGGGGATATGCAGTGTATCATCTTTATTTCTCTCTAAGAATTTATATATGTACTTTTAAAATCTTTTATATTTCTAATTAATGAAGTTTTAAAATTCTCAAATAAAATTTTTATTTTACTTTTATCATATAGATAAGAATGCTTTTGTGATTGAGTTTCAAAATTTTGTGAAGTCGAATACAGAACTGAATGCCATATACGATTCTCTGAACAAAGAAATTTCTTCAACACATACTAATTAAACGATTTTCCATATATGTAACTTTTAGATCCTTTTTTTTATTTTCATTTTTTTCAACTTATTAATCCCAACCTAAAGTTTTAATAGTTTTTATATATAAGTTTTCAATCTATAAGCTGATTTTATTATAATAAATTTTTTTTATTCTTATAAATTTTGATAAAAAAAAATAATTGAAAATTTGGGATTAGAATTAAATTTCTATAATTTAAAGAACACTAAGGGTAACTGGAACATTGTTTAGCGGCGTTCAATGCTACTAAGATGTTTTGAAAGCATATTAATATTTTTCTATTAACCAGGTGTGTAGTTAGGTGGGGGGCAGGCAACCTTCGATTAAAATAAAGCGTGCTCCCGCCAAAATTTTTTTTAAAAAAGTAGAGAGCAAGGATACCCCTTCCAAAATATTAAATTTTTGTTTATATAGCGGTATTTTAAAATATTAATACTTTTACTATGAAATGAACAAAATATTTTATCAACAAAATGGTAATGTAATTAAACATTTTTAATTCAGAAACTAACAATTCCATATTTTAATTGGTTCCTAAAAATGTAATATCCAACGATCATAACCTGCATTATTTACAGCATTTAGAATTAGCAGTGTCCAATGCAATAAAAAGTATTACAGGCATTAATAACTGTAATGCCTACACTAAATAATGTTTATACAGCAACGTTTGAATTAGGCATTCAATTGCTGAAGGCAGTCTTCACACTGTTAAGTCGGTTTGGAATAAGTATGAAGCCCTGTAAACGCATTTCAAAAATTAAGTCAATTCTAGCAACCGTGCAAAATTTAATGGGCTGTCGACCTGATTATAAAATGGTAAATTTTTTTCCTCGCCTTGATTTTCTATTTGAATTATCCAAGCACGTACGCAGGAATTCGCTATGGGGGTGGGAGAGGATAATTAATTTTATTTGTTACAAATATTCTAGGAGTTTTTTAAGAATATCTCAAGTCTCCAAAATTTATTAGTACTAGTGACTGAAATATTGACTAATAAATTATGACAAAATATTAAATGTATAAAATCAGGCATATGAAACACTATAAAATAAATGTCTCGAAAAAGAACTTTGTAAAAAAAAATATATATATTTTAGACATTTAAAACTTGATATTTAAATTTTAATATATTTTTAAAAAGTAAATGATAGAAATATAGATTAATGCACAAAAATATTCTTAAGAATTATTGCATGAATATAAGCTTACAAAGTATTCACGAAAATAATAGGTATATTAAAAAATGGGAAAAGATATCATTAAGAAGCATATTATTTATAATGTAAAATTCAATTTTCTTTAGTAGTGTTGTTAATCGGCTAAATTAATTCGAATAACTAACGGTTATTGTCTAAAAATTCGTTTATGATATATTTACTCGGCTTAGTCAACTAAAACAAATTTTTAGGCCGAACCGAACCTGCATCACTGTATAGTCGGGGTTAGTGTTGTTAATTAGTCTAGTTTTTCCGACTACTTGAGATATTAGAGAAGATGAACCATATAAAAGTAACAATTCTCATATTCGTTATTTTTGCACTTTTTATTTTTTTTAAAATTTTTTGGAGCAAATAAGCAGAATATACTTGTTAAATTAAAATTTAAATGAGGATGTACCATAGAAAAGACAATTGTCATAATCGTTATTTTTTTTGAAACAACTGGTTAAAATTGTAAACATTAAATTAAAATGAGGATGTATCATAGAAAAGTGACAATTATCATAATCGATATTTTTAATCATTTTTGAAGCAATAAACATTTTAAATTGAAATTTAAATAAGGATGCACCATAGAAAAGTGAAAATTGTCATATCGTAATCTTTAAGCTTTTCGAATTTTTTTGCTAAAACGAGCTGGTTTTTAGCCCACGCCCGTCCATCTAATTGGGAGGGCTAGTTAAATAATTTTAAAAATTGTGAGCGGATGGGTTAAATTTTTTTTAGCTTTTATTAGTTATTTAAACTATTAGGTAAACATTGAAAAATACATGCCTCATATAATTTTAACATTTTTAATACCAAAGTACAGATAACTGTTGTGGATGTTATCTTCGGGAGAAATTAATGAGATAAAAAAGACTTGTTGGAATTGATTTGAATGGAAAAATATAACATCGACATGGATAAAAATATGATTTTACCCGTTTTCTCAAAATCAAAGCTAAGAAAATTCAATTATTAAATTCATATTTAAATATTACATTACTTTTTAAAAATTAATTATTAATAGTTTCACTTATTTATATAAAGATCTTACTTGAGGAAGAGGATATACTTGACTGATATCCTACTTTTGTGGAAACGACAATAAAAAGATTTGCAAATGCTATCATAATTAGTTAGAAATTATTGGCATTACAGTAAGGTATAAAAACAAATAGGAACGTGTTTGAACCCAGAAAATGTGGATTCATTATTATTTTGCATAATTATAAATATCAATAAATAATAATTTCATATCATAAATATTTTATTCAAATAAATTACTTATCCATAATTTAAATTGAATATTTTTTTTATGTTTACTAAATTATAAAACTTTTTATAAGGGTGTAGCGCTGAAACTGAATCATTTTTTTTATTAGATGCTTAGAAAATTTAAAGAATGGGCATATTTAAGTTTTATATGGGGGGGAGCGTGGTTTAATTATTTTTTATAAATAATGGGCTGAGGCCAGACGAATAGCCTATAAAAATTATTTATAATTTCATTTTACATTCTTTCCCCATAATTGAATTCCCTTATGACATAACTATTTTATGTATAAATAAATTTCTCGATTTAAAATATACTTATAAAAAAAATCAAAGGAAAACACATTTAAATTAATCAATTTATTAGTCAATAAACGTACACATATTATTCGCGTTTGGCAAAAAATATAGAAAGAAAAAAAAATATATAGATTTAAAAATGGGTAACTCACGAAACGGGGGAAATTTTTAATATTATTATTTTTTAAAAAAAAAATTTTATTAAAAAAATAATAAGTGGGAGATCTTCTGTGGAAATTTTTTGATGTAATAATAATTCAAGTTTCATTACTCAAAAGTTTTAATAGTTAATGGAAGAGGTAAATTAAATATTGTTAATAAAATTAAATATTTTTCCATGTTATAACAATCTTAATGAAAATGGATATAATCATTACTCGGTCAATCATAGCAGAAACTTATAGACCCATGTGATATATCGACCCATACTCAACGTATTGAGCGTTTATGGAAGGATCGTAAGGCAAGCATGCCCAGAAATGGAAGAAAATCTTCCCTAATTTATATATGTGATTATTCCTATTTTCGTAATATTAAAAATGTGTCAAATTTAAATAAGTAAATAAAATTTTTAAATGATATAAATTTATATTGAACTATTTTTGTTTTTCCTTAAAATTATATGTATCTATATTATCATTGTTTATATATTATGTTTATTCAATGATTAATTATCTAGTATTTGATTTAATAGCCCTAAGGATCATCATAGCACATGCCTTTTTAAAGCAAAATATAAATTACCCATTTTTACCCTATTCTAATTTGAATTTGATATCATTCTTTTTTATTTTTTTACAAAATTTAAATCTATCACAACCCCTGATGTTATGCCGAGAATAAGAAAACCCACAATTCAAGAAAATTTAAAATTAAATATGCTGATATTAAAATATCTCATCCTAACAAATATTTCATTTAGAACTATAGAACATAACAGTTTTAAAGAGATGATTCATTATTGTAACAAAGGCTTTAAAATTTGGACGAGACAAACACTAAAGAAAAAACTTTGTACAATATATGGTCTAAAAAAATAATAATTAAAAAATTAACTGATATAAATAGACTAGCAATCACTACAGATTGCTGGTCTAGCTCAGATTCCATAACCTACTGCGCTGTAACTATTCATTACATCAGTAGTGAATGGACACTAACAAATTTATTACTAACCATAGTTTCTTTCCCACATCCCCATACAGGACAGCAAATTTCCGATTTGCTGTTCAATTGTTTTAATGACTTTGAAATAACGGCTAAAATAATATCAATCACATGACAATGCCAAAAATATTGTTAGTGGTGTTAATATGATGAAAGAGGAGTTCAAACTTCTTCACAAAAAAGACTTGTACAACCATCGTTGTCTAGTCCATGTTATAAATTTAATTGTACAAGAAGGACTAGGGTTTTTATCAAATAAATTGGAGATAATTCATACCCTAGTCAACAAGCTTCATACCTCCCCTAAATTAATGAAGGAGTATGTCAAAATAAGTGGAGGTACCAAAATTCCTTTGGACGTTGCTACACGCTGGAACAGCACATATCTAATGATAGCTGTTGTAAATAAGGTATTATTTTTACAAAGTATTAAATTTTATACATTAATATATTTATTTAATACAGAATATCGAAGCAATTGTTGAACTAGGACAAACATCTTTGGGGAAAAATAAGTATTTCATTAATAAGGAATTACACCAATTATTAACCGATCTGGAAATATTTTTGTCTCCTTTTTACAAAATAACTTGTGAAATTAGTTCACAATCCCCAACTATTGGGATGGCGATCTTATTTTTAATATTCACGAAAATTTAATAAACGCTACAAAAAATAATAATGGAATAATATATAATGCAGCATCTAAAATGTTGATTAAATGTGATGACTATTTGGCGAAAATGTATCATTTCGCCAATTATGCCGGGTCTTTTTTAGACCCAAGAATAAAAAAATCCTTAATTCCAAATAATATTGATTTCCAAAAGGATTATTTTGAAGATTTTAAAAATGTATTTAAAACTTATTCAACCTCTGGGACAAGTTATCAATATGTCGATGATGAGAGTAATCCTAATAATCATACATCTGTATCCATTTTGCAGGAATTAATATGACATCTAGAAAGAAAAATGTACTTGGGAGTGCTTTTGTGAGCGAAATAGATGAATATTTAGGGGAACCACTTTGTCCAGAAAATGCTAATATTTTAGATTGGTGGAGAGGAAACCAGACACGATTTCCATGCCTTTCTCAAATGGCGAAGGATTTTCTGGCTCAACAAACTACCTCTGTCCCTATCGAGCGGGTTTTCTCACGAGCTGGAGATACC